AATGTCGAATATGATCATCAAGAATCAACTAAGATCTATAAGCTTACCTACAAGATCACATCCAAGCACCACCGGGACCGAGGAAGCTCTTAACAAGGTTAAAGAGATTAACACCACGACTGGTTCGTCCGAATCAATCTTGATGGGCTTAGCTGGTTTGGAGGAGCTCTACATTTGTACGGAAGAGTTTCTAAAAATGGGCTCGACACAACGTGCTATGTCCTCTAATGGGTCAGAGTTTATGGAGGAGATGCTTGATGGGTCTTTGAGGCTAATGGATGTATGCAGTGTCTCGAGAGATCTCATGGTGGAGACTCACGAGCTTGTTCTTGGTGTTCAGTCATGTGTTAGAAGAAAGAATGTAGCTGGAGGAGGAGAAGACCAACTAGATGTCGCTGTCTCGGGTTATGCCGGATTTAGAAAGAACATGAGAAAAGAAGCTAAGAAGCTTCTTGGATCCTTGAAGAACATTGATGGAAGATCAACTTCATCATCATCGGTAAATAATGGTCAACAAGATGAACATCTTATGGCGGTTATTGATGCGATGAGACGAGTGGTTTCGGTTAGTGTCTCGGTGTTGAAGTCCTTCTTGGAGTTCTTGTCGGGACGACAAAGTAACATTAAGAGCAAGTTGGCTTCGGTACTAAAGAAGAAGAAAGATCATCATGAAGAGACCAAGAACGAGTTGGAGAGTTTGGATTCCGCAATATGTTGCTCTCGTGATGATCTACAAAAGAAGCTTGAGGAGGTTGAGATGAGCATTGATGGATTTGAGAAGAATCTAGAAGGTTTATTTAGACGGTTAATTAGAACACGAGCCTCGCTTCTCAACATAATCTCTCATTAGATTTAAAAGTATGCATGTAATGTAACCTTCGTGTAGGCATTCGACTTTAAGAGAATTTGCTGGAGGGATACATTATAGGCGCATAGTAAAACTTTGTACACTAGTTATTAATTAAAAGGATAAATGTAGAGACTAATTTGTAAAATAGATGCAATATTGCAGTTATATATTCAAGTTCTCTTGTGTGAAAAAAATTATGGAACGATCTAAAATCTAAAGTTCAAATGACTAAATCAGTAGCTATTTTTTCTTATTAAATCTTGTAAATTTGTATGCACCATGTATGCACCACAACGTGTTTTCATATACCATTTCTAATAATAGGGTATCTTAATTATTATTTTTACTCTCCACATCTCATCACAATTTTCTTCAAAATATCCGTATTATTTTATAATTTAAAAGACCTATAGGTTTAATTATAAAAATGTAAAATTATTTCATATAATTATTCATAACCAAAGGAAAAAGTTACATATAGACTAAATATTTACCCAATATTTTTTACATAAAATAAATGTAGACGTAAAAATTATCCGATTTTATAAAAAAATTGAAAATCAGTCTAGATTTGGACCCAACAGTATTTAATTAACGATTTCGGTTCATATCAAAGAAACCAATTTTTTTTTATTGTAACTGATAACTTTGGTTAATTAAGAGCTTACAAAGTCAAGATACAACGAATTAGTTATCGAAATTCGAACATATCGGCTTAATCCTTCGTATGTTAATTAAGTTCTCTAAGGGGTATTTTCGTCAAAGCGATAACACGATATTTTAATTGCATCCGAACGGACGCAACTCTTTGAAGAAAAGGCGCGAAAGAAACCTAAACACTCGAGACACACGGGAAAAAAAAAAAACGGTCATAACCGTCGAGTGATCAAAGAAACTATATAAACACCACTTCCATCACCATTGAAACTCATTACTCTCTACAATAATCAAGATAAAAAAAAAACACATGAGTAATCCCGAGAAAGCGATAATGGATACTGAGGAAGAGATCATCGAAGGAAACTCTGATGATAGTGATTACGCTTGGAGTGACCTTGAAGAGGGTGAAATCCGCGAACTTGTTCTTGCTCTCCCTGCTCTCAGAGTTAGTGATGAACGCTTCAATGCCGATGAAGAACTCCGCCAAAACGCCGTCGTTGCGGCGAACTTGGTCGTGGCCGCCGCTCAAGAAGCAGCGGTTGCAACCGGGACTACTGAACCAGCGGTTGCAATGGAACTAGCGGGTGGAGACACTGGGAAGAAGAAGAAAATGGGTAGGCCTAGAAAGGTCGGTTTGGTGGCTGAAGATGGAGCGTCCGGTTCGATTGAAGGGGAGGCTGTTAAGAAACCGAGGAAGAAAGGATCTTCAGTTTTGAACTATCCTCCTCAAGGACCCGCCGCATGTAACATTTGTGGGAAAGTTTTTGGTTCTTGGAAGGCTGTGTTTGGACACTTGAGATCTCATAAGGATCGTGGTTATCAAGGTTTTCTTCCTCCACCGACATTCAATGCGGCTGAAGAAGGATTTGGTAACGTTGTTGCTGGTTCTTC